TATATGTAGCTGACTGAGACAATGGCAGGGCTAACGAGCTGACAAGGAGCAGGTGTGAGGAGACCACGAGGGAGCCAAGGGGAAAGGAACACACACAAGAGGGCAACAGAGGAAAACAACAGAAAAACCCGAGAACTAACAAAAATCTAGAAACTACAACAAAATAAGAATTAAACCAATAAAAATAGGAAACATGGAGCAAAGTAAAGCACAACATAACCAAAACCATGACACATTCTGGATGTCTAAAAATACATTGCAGACCTCCATGATCCATTTGTTACTGGTCATAATTTGTTATTTCAAAAATGCTTTGGTCCAATCTATAATGGAAATGTGACTAGTCAGCCTGCCTATTTTATCTTAAAGCGGAGCCTCATTCTTTTGAATGTTAGTCAAAATATGTTTTCAAGTATCTAAAACTTTATTTTGGATAGACATTATTAAAATTTAGATATCTGAAATTCTAATTTAACTAGTCAAATTGTTGATATCTGTAATTATATTTCTACTAGTAGAAATATACTTTAGATGACAAGAATCAGATTTCTGGATATCTGTAACAGATAACATTACAGTTCTAATGTTATATTCATTTTTGATATCTGAAATAGTAATTTTGACTAGCAGTAACTCTAATATGGAGATCTGAAACAAGAATTCACCCTCGTCAGAATCCTTTTTTAGATAGGAAGAATGTTATTTTAGATATCTGGTAGTAAAATCCCAACACACATGAATGGGAAATGTGATGTCATCTGTACTAGTAAGAATCACATTTCAGATATCTGAAACGTATATTTTAGATAGGAAGAATGTTATTTTAGATATCTGAAATGTTAATTTTGACTAGGAAGAAATGCATTTGAGACATCTGAAATATATATTCAGTCAAGCTAATTGATTTCAAAAGGGCCACTTAAAATGAGCAAAGATTTCTATTTATTTGAAAGTTTATTCTTACCAGTACAATTTTGGCAGCCTGAAATGTAATTTTTGCTAGCAAAAATGTAATTATATATATATATTTACATTTCTGGCCGATAGGAATGTAGTTTTGACAAGGAAGAATCTTATTTTAGAGATCAACTAATGGAGCAATAGAGAGGACAGCGCTTCTAATAAATGTCAAAACGGCCTGCCATAGGGGCGCGAGCTGCGGAGTAGCAGTCTGCACGTCTGCATCTCAGCGACCGTCAGAAACTCCAGAACGACCAAAAAGCTTCATAGGAACAGAAGGCAGCGGGAAGATGAGGTGAGATCAGAGCTGTACAAACAAGATTTTTATTAGTCTGATTGTACTTTTTCTTCATCTGTTTTCTCTTCACTTTATCATGGTTCAGTATGTGAAAGGCGATTAAATTGTCTATTTTTTTATTTTTACCTCGGTACAATTTTCTCAGGTAGATGTCAGGTTATATAATATTTTAATTGTCTGATAGAAGCCCAGCGAAAGTGGGTTTTAGCTTCTGGTTAGTCAGCATTCCGTCAGCAGCATGTTGTAACACAAGTCTCACAGCTCCAGCTGCTGTATGGACATTTCCTTTTAGGCTTTTATTTTGGCGGGCTGCATCCTTTAAATTCGGGCTCTCTTATCTTAGTTTCTGCAACTTATTCAATTAATTTCATTTTTTCATTTTGATGGACCTGCAGTTATTCAACCCGAACGCTTTCATAATAGGGTGACCAAACATCAGTGGTGGCTGGTGAAAAATATTTTTGGTGGGGCTGATATAGCCTAGTGTATGTCTCCAACTAATCCGGAATAAGCATTCAAATAAACCATTGGAAATGAAATACAATTTAACAGTAATGATTTAATTTACTATATAATAACAGTAACAGTGAATATTTGGGTCACTGTGACGGGGTTCTTTGG